AGACTGGAGTAATGATGCTGAAAATTCAGCTTTGATCAGAGGAATGACATTTTAAACTATACTCAAATAGAAAACTGTTATTTTAAATTGCAATAAGATTTCACTATATTACTCTTTTTACTGTATTTTTAATCAAATAAATGCATCCTTCCTTGGTGAGCAGAAGAGACTTTTTAAAAATATAAAAAAATCTTATCAGCCCCAAACTTTTGAATCATTGTGTATATTTTATAATACTTAAACATGAAGTATTTAGTTAATCATTTGATATAATTTGTATTTTTATTTAGTATTTCATTTATAAATGTCAAATTCAAAACATTCAAATTCAAAATATTTTACAAATAAGAGTGAAATTTTCGAAGCACCTGACATGCATTTTACAAGCCCACAGATAGATACAGAATTCAAAGTAAAGGTAAATCATATTAACTGTAATAAAATAGCGTTTCTTTGTGTATGTGTGGTCAGTATGCTGATAACGTGGAGTTTATGTGGCGACTGGCTCGCGCCTACAGCGACATGTGTGAGACGGCGGACAACAGAGAAGAAAAGAGAAACTACGCTGAGCAAGGTGAGGAAATATCACATGAGTGCCCTACAAAGTGGAGCACACTTCCTAACATCATGCTTTGAGAAAAACACTGCAAAGGCTAGGAAACATCCCCTGCTAAGTGTTGAGGGAGCATTACACACTCCATAAGGACTTGAAACGCAGCTTGTAATGTACTGTACCTACACTGACCTTTGACCTTTTGACACTGAAGGTCATTATGAGGCAGAGGCAGCGCTGACGAGGAATGAACTGAGCGCTGATTGTCACAAGTGGTATGAAAACACCACACACATATTCATCTTTACTGTATGAGATGAGTTTTAATGTCTGTAGTTTATAATATGTCTGCACTCTCAGGTTTGCCATCCTCGCGCGCGCGTCTTCACAGTACGAGAGCATTCACGGAAAACTGAAAAGCGGTCGCGTACTGAAGGTGCGCCTGTGAAGCTTTATGTCAGTATTGCAGATGAACATGAGGGCATTCTTTCGTGAGTCGTGTGTTTAATGACTGTGTTTGTTCTGGATGTACCGACAGGAGCATTTGGACCGAGCTTTGGCTCTACGTGATGATGATCCCATCTGTTTCTATCTGCTCGGCCGCTGGTGTTTAGAGGTCAGATCCGGCTGCTACAACAAAGCCAACAGTCTCTGTAATAATTCATAGAGCTTGCTAATCCTACCTGGACAAAAAGTCAAGAGGATTTTAGATTATTGCAGAAAATAGGCTCTGTTACTAGCAAAAGAGTTTTGTTCATCAAGATAATCTTCACAACTGAACACCACTTTTATGAATTTTGAAGCCCAAATAAAGTCAATGGAATTTTATCTGTAAAGGGCTTGTCACAGTACACATTGTTTTAACCCTCTGATGCTCTTCGGCTATTTTTGACCAACAAAAATGTACGTTTTGTTTTTTAGAAATGTTTACTTCATCGGAATGGTACGAAACTTTGTACTGGTTTTGGCATTTGAACACAGAAAGAAATCATGGACAAAATTCAAAACGGTTAAATGGCCCTGAAAAAAAAAATAGTCCAAAAGTGACTGCATTGGAAATGAATGGGAAACTATTTCCTAGTGGAAACGTTTGGTACTGCGCCTAAACAAAATCTTACTGAAAGCAAATTTTCTGAGATAAATCTCAAACTTGTTTAGATTTATGGCTTTGATTTTCTCTCAGTTTTGGAGTAAAACGTGTTTCAGAAAATGTGTATTTCATATAAAATTTGAAAGTTTAAACTTCTATAACTTTTTAAACTTTTTTTCACTTAAAGGGTTAGTTCACCCAAAAATGAAAATTAGTCCATAAA